ATGGAGCCGAATAATTCCTACCACCTAGTGACATCATAGCTATGACAACGGCGTAGCACGATGCATCATGGGTTGGTGCCGATGCTGCTGCAAACAAACCTGCTGCATTGCTTGTCGTTTAAAAGTACGGAACATACAATTATGTGCAGCAGGGTTTCTCAACCCGGTCCTCGGGGACCAGCAGCCGGTCCATGTTTTTGCTCTCTCCCAATTCCCTGCCAATTGGGAGAGAGCAAAAACGTGGACCGTCTGGTGGTCCCCGAGGACCGGGTTGAGAAACCTTGATGTACAGTACATAATGCTTCATAATGATAACTAAACTTACTGATTTATGTATGTAGTATGTTGTACTTATAATCGTTACTTTAGAGTGTACTCTTTCTACTGATAAAAATGTTTACTGTAACCTCTGTATGTAGAAGGCTACACCATCTACATTTGTGTAAGTGTGCTCACTGATATTCGCCCCAACGACGAAATCGCCTAAAAATGCATTTCTCAGAACGCATCCACATCGTTAAGAGATGCACAACTGCACATAGCAGGGTTGTTTTGTCTTATAAACTGCCCCTGAATAGAGTTCTTCAGACCTAGGTCACCTTTCTTAGTCACTAATTAACCCAGCCACCCAGTGCAAAAGTTATGGTTTGACTTTGCAATAATGACTTTTGGAAAAATGCACAGCAGTTGGGTTTCAGTTTAATGGCAGTTAGATTATCCTGCACGTTTTAAGTAAAGAAGGTTATTGAATCCTGCATGGTTCATGGTTCTATTAAGTCTAATTCTTTGGCAATAAAACTGAAATAAATCACTTCTGGTATTATGGAGATGACAGAAAACTAGTTAAAATATGAATGAGAGACCATTTAACTGTGAAGGTAAAATGGTGTGAAAGAGATGCATTCTGGAATCACTCAGCTTTTCCTGGGAGACGATCCATAAGTCATTCAGCTATGAAAATATTGTGTGCGTGATTAAACTAAACAAAAATGTTATTTGGAAAATGTGAATGGCGGCCTATTTAATGAAAAACGATAATGAGAATTAAACAAAAAAACATTAAAACATTTTCCTGTATAATTTGGAAAGCAGAAGCAAATGTTAAATGTTACATTTTTTATGGAAAGTGCTCAGAATTTTAAGAACATAGAATATTATTACAGACCTTCACACATCATAATGAAAGTAGTCTGTGTCATCGTTCCGGGAACTGGAGTGGGAAAAAATCAAGATGTATGTTAACTAAACCTGGTGGCTGTTTTGAACTGTTTTGAATGAAACTTCATATTTCAAAAGACTGACCTGATATGATTCACCTCTTTCAGATAATAAGTGAAGGACGTCTGTGACGTATGAATGTGCCAAGCACAGCTGTTTGCTGGCTTCCCAGTGAAGGCTCCAGGTTTTGTTAATCAAAACAGGAAAATGTCCATTTTCCTCACCAGAAATGCATGAAATGCCTATCAAAATTCAACTGTAAAAGCAGGTGTATTGCTGCGTTCATGGTTTCCCTTCGAGGAATCGCGCTGTGCTGTGTAATTCTGCGTTCATGGTTTCCCTTCGAGGCATCGCGCTGTGCTGTGTAATGCTGTTTCACGCAGATTCACTTCAGTCTCTCTGTGGGCCAGCAAATGGATTTAGCATAACACAAGTCATCCCTCCATTTCTGAAAAACAGGGCAGCACTGTGAATATTTAAGGCTGGGATGCCCACCATTCATCAAACGGACTGAATTATAAAATACAGTATTTTTTAAAATTGTATAACTGTGGCATGCCAATAAATCTCATAAATAAATAATTATAATATATTAAAGGTTATGTAACAAAGAAAGTCAACTGAAAAAATAATTCTCAGCATCTGCAGATACACAGAGACACTGAAAATGTATATTGTAGCTGTAATCTCGGGATTCCTTTACAGTGACCACGTTTGAACACCTGTTTTAGCTTAATTTCTGCCCCTTCTCTGCTGCCTCGGGGCCAACATACCACATGTAAGTGGCCACAGCACACAGCACTAAATGCTGAAAGTGCAGTGCAGAGCAGCAGACAACTCTGCGTGCAGACAGGGGTTCCCGGCGCGGTGCAGTGAGCGAGCCAAATGTCACACCAGCAGGCTAATGAGGTTTTATACAGCTCCGGTCCTGTTCAAAGGTCTCGTGTTAAAGAAAATCTTTGACTTCTCACGGTGCATCGCATTAAGCGAATTGCCACTCCTGTCGGTTTATTTAATGTCCATTATGGAGGTTCCCAGTGAGCCACTGCGCTGTGCAGTCAGATCAAAGCCAAACGCAGCATATTAATGGAAGCTGTGCAGCAAATGGACCTTCGGCGACGCATGTCAGGACACTGCAGTGAAGGTTAGGGTCCAACAGGGTTTTGGATTCTGATCTTTCTCAGGGAGAAGATGTTTTTCGGCACCAGCTGGTGCCTGATTTATTGGTAGGAAACTGTACAATGAAAGTGATGTGTTGTTACCCACTATACCTAAAATGATCAGTATTTTTGCATATAAAAAAGTGACTCATATTATGAGTGACATGGGACGAGCTGGTGTTGGCTGTAGACAGTCATCTCTATTTACTACCTTCCTTTTGCACTACAACCAACGAGATCGATATTCCATCTCAGTGTATGAGCCATGCATCATATAGCTGAAGGTTACAATAAAAATACTTTGAGCTGAGGTTCCAGATGTAGTCTATAATGGCCATATACTTCAGTGTATATATGCATGGACATACATACACATGGTGGAGATACACAAAGAAAGAAGCAAATAGGAAGGAGCAACTATCACGCATTAACAGGAATGAGTAGAAATGACTGGATAAGAGCTTGTGCTACTAAGTGATGAGTATTTATAAAGGCACCATGTGAGGTTTAAGGAGGCAATTATGCAAATGCGGGTATGGAGGTGCAGTGACTTCTTAGCTGGTCAATGTCCTGATAGCAATCTGGAAGGAGCTGCTCCTGAATGGCTTTTAATAGCAGGGATCTGAGTCATCTGCCGTGTGGGAGCAGCTGGAGCTGGTCGGGGTCAGTGTGCGAGGGGTTGGAGGGGATCTCATTGGAGGCGATCTCATTGGAGGGGATATCATTGGAGGCAATCTCAATGGAGGCGATCTCATTGGAGGCAATCTCAATGGAGGCGATCTCATTGGAGGGCGATCTCAATGGAGGCAATCTGAATGGAGGCGATCTCATTGGAGGGGATATCATTGGAGGGGATATCATTGGAGGTGATCTCATTGGAGGTGATCTCATTGGAGGCAATCTGAATGGAGGCGATCTCATTGGAGGCGATCTCAATGGAGCCGATCACATTGGATGTGATCGCATTGGAGGAGATCTCAATGGAGGCGATCTCAATGGAAGCGATCTTACTGGAGGCGATCTCAATGGAAGCGATCTCAATGGAGGCGATCTCATTGGAGGTGATCTCATTGGAGGCGATCTCAATGGAGGCGATCTCATTGGAAGCGATCTTACTGGAGGCGATCTCAATGGAAGCGATCTCAATGGAGGCGATCTCATTGGAGGCGATCTCAATGGAGGCGATCTCATTGGAGGTAATCTCATTGGAGGTGATCTCATTGGAGGTGAGATGGATGTAGAGGGAGGGGAGGTCAGCGCCACAGTCACAGAAACCTTGGAAATAATGGGCCCAGGTCTGGTGCTCTGCGCTGCCTTACAGAGTATAATGTTTGGATGCTCTAGATGATGGAGAATCTGATCAGCAGGGATGGGTTGGCTTTGAATTTTACTGTCTGAGGAAGTACTGTGTCTGTAGTACTTTTCTTCCAGATGATATAATCCATGCTGGAGTGTCATTTCAGAGAGCTGCGAATGAGTCTTCCCAGGAATCTGAATGGGAGCGTAAAGGGTTTCTGTAGTGCTGAGTAGGAGGTTATTACCATCGCACCAGGTGACCACTCTGTCCACATCCAGCCGGTACTGTGGTTTGGTGCCGTCCTGTTCCATTGGGCCCTTGAGCGAGGCCCTTAACCCTGAAGGGGTTGGCTGACCCTACATGTATGTATCTGGGCAGAGATGTTTGATTATTTTGAGAGAGTTCTCCCAGGGTGTGAGGCTACCAGGAAGTACAGGAACAGTGCCCTGCCTCACAGTGATCCAGTGCTGACAGACTAATGTCCACATGTATGGAAGCCCAAAATCCAGTGGAGAGATAAACTGGTTTTCCAACCTGCCCAGAAGACAATAATACTGTGAAACAATGTTTGAAAGGATCCAAGGGGCAGATATATAAATTTCCGTCACTTTGTCATTAACTGTTTGTCTTTGCTTTATTGAGTTTGGCTATAAAGGAAATCAGTTCCTGCAATTCTTCTCATGTACGTAGAATATAAGCTGTTTCTCAATATGCATACTTGGCCATTCTCGTGTTCTCTCATACCCGTTTTACATCATCTTCCATTGCAAAGGACCAGTTCCAATACTCAAAAACAGATGTACAGAGGACAGTAAAAATCCGCGGATGTCAGTCTTGCCCCGTTTCGAATAACAACTATACATCAGTTGCATCCTTGCCAAATGAGACAAATCCCATGATTCATTACGCCCCAAGTTCATTCATGTGAGGCAAGTTAGCAAGACCGGTCTTGCCAAGACCACAAGTATGATCTGTGCGTTCTTAGTATTGAGATTCACCCATAAACCATGGTAACTGGTTCAGGACAATAAAACGATGAACAGAGTTTGCTGATTCGGTGCCTGACAGGAACAATCGCATGCAGATCTGGCTGTAATTTAGGACCAGAGCAGAAAAACAGTGGCTGTAATAAATCTATCATGTGGCTTCCTGTCTGTTCAGGATGTACGATGTGGCTTCCTGTCTGTTCAGGATGTACGATGTGGCTTCCTGTCTGTTCAGGATGTACGATGTGGCTTCCTGTCTGATCAGGATGTACGATGTGGCTTCCTGTCTATTAAGGATGTACGATGTGCCCATCTCTGTGGTTTTGTGGGTGCTTTTCCATGTCTTCCTATGTTTATTTGGGGGTCTCTCGTGTTCTGATAGATACATACAGCTGAAAGACAAGCGCAGTTCAGCTAGATTTACCCTAAACTGTCCTTAATGTGTGTGTGTCTTGTGATGGAATGACATCCTGTCCATGGTGTCTCCTACTGATTGTGTTGATACCCCTTTGGACAAGCAGATTTGGGAGAACAGGCTGGACAAATGAACATGACTTCCTAGGGATCATGGGAGATGCAGACACACCTTAAAGCTTCTGATGGATTTGTGCAGGCTGCTCTATTTAGTGCTCGTTCATGGCCGCATGAAGACAGCCTCCCCACCAAGTGGGAGAATGTCATCCCCAGGAGTGAGCACCAATCTGCTGCGGTCATACGCAAGTCCCTCAGAGAGCTGGACGGTGATCCATCACCCGGTAAGTAACACGTTGACGCGAAATTATCAGGTATTATTAAAACAGCTGCATTAACTTTGAGCAACGGATAAACCAAGGGATCTGGCTTAAAAACAACAACACCAATAATAACAGTAGTAGTAGTATCGCACTCATTCATGGTACTTTGTTCCTTGTGCGAAACAAATGATTAATCGCGAAGTACACGCATTCAAGCCGCTGAATTACGATCGAGTGACAGACAGCACACTTGTCACTTTATATGACACTTCTATGTAATTATAGCAAAAGAAAAAAGCTTTTGATCGGTGGACATTTCATCAGTGCATTAACTGGGGCGCTCAGAGGCGGTGTGGGCGCGCCTGTCACTCAGCCTCCGCTCTCCATAAACTTGGTGGCTTTTTGCTGCTCAGCCAGTATCTCCGGGATGCGGGGATGCAGGCTGCTGGTGGCGGGAGCCTCGGAGGAAAGGCGCATTTCGGGCGGATTGCAACGCCATCAGACGCCCTGTAGCTCTTAACTCCAGCTACAGTGGAACATGCTTTGCTAAACAGTCCTGGCGATAGGTGAGTATAAATACCTCCCAGTTTGTCCGTCTGAGCGTTCGCGTTGATTGAAATTAACGATGATAATGCAATGAACAATCAACACGCGCATTCCTCCTCATCATTATCATCCTCATCATCAGTGCCGTCATTGTAATCGTTTTTGAAAACATTAATTTCTTATTCCTCATCATTGATGTTTATTTTGATGGACGCCTTCTGAAATGTATAAGCAGGTAGGGGTATACAGGTTACAGTAAATCCCGGTAAATCTCACCCTAACTTATAACAGGTGTATAAATATTAAACTGCTTTTTTTTTTTTTTTTTTTTGCTTTCTGCGCTCAAAGCGTTAGGCGGCTGACCGTAATGAGGGGCGTGTGTTACACTCTACGTAAATTATGTAGTTTAAAATGCAAGTTTATATGGACATATCTGAGCCTGAACTTTATTATAATTTTCCCGTATGAATTTCACAAAGCAGCTCTTAAATTTTAAGCACAAATCCTTGTTACATAAATGCTTAAAATTTTATGGGGCATGCACGATTGTTATTCATTTAAAATACACAAATTTACAGACACGACTTGCTCAGAAATCTGTTATTCAAATTTCTATGTCCGTTCAGCATCCAACGACTCAAATTTATTTCCGCTTCAATCTTTTGTAATTACAAGATCGCGCAATGGGTCGTATTAAAACGATGCTAAATCACCTTTATAAATGCCATAAATCCTCTTTTATCACTTTGCATGTACGATCGATAATTACTAACGAAACGCGCGCTATTAACTTTTTTCACGTTGTGTAGGCCTATTAGGACAGCTCAAATTGTATATTAGTGAGGCACATATCTTAAGCAGTGCCTGATTCTCTCTAAATAAATCACTTAGGGTTCATTTTAATCCCGAACACAGTTTAATTCAATAAATAATAATGGGCTGCAAGTTATAATAGGCACAAAAATCCTCAAAGAGTTGAGGTGCTATCAAACTTATTATTGAGCAGAGTTGTACCTAGTCAGACGCGTGGTGACTCACCTGTGTTTCCAGGTTGTGTGGGCTGCGTGCCTAAGGCCAGCCAATGGAGCCCGAGAGCCAGGCCAACGTCACCCAAGACGACCTTTTTGGGTCGGACACAAATTCCAGCAAGTGCTGCTCGTCCACGTCATCGGTGCTGAGCGAGGGCGCCCTGGAGGACAGCACGAAGCTCGTGGGAGTGCAGGTGGTGCTCATCCTAGCCTACAGCACCATCATCCTGCTGGGGGTCGTCGGAAACTCCCTGGTCATCTACGTGGTCTACAAGTTCAAGACGCTGCGCACGGTCACTAACTTTTTCATAGCTAACCTGGCGGTGGCCGATCTGCTGGTGAACACGCTGTGTTTACCGTTCACCCTGGTTTACACCCTCCTGGAAGAATGGAAGTTCGGACAGGTCCTGTGCTTCATGCTGCCCTACGCCCAGGGTCTGGCAGTGCACGTTTCCACGGTAACCTTGAACGTCATAGCCTTAGACCGACACAGGTGCATAGTGTATCACCTGGAGACCAAGATGTCCAAGGAGATGTGCTTTGTGGTGATCGGCATAACGTGGACCATCAGCGCCGTGCTGGCCAGTCCGCTGGCCATTTTCCGGGAATACACCACATTCGACTTCTCGCCGGATCAGTCCATCCAGGTGTGTACGGAGAAGTGGCCCGGGAGCAACAGGGACGGCACCGTCTACAGCATCTCCGCGGTCATCCTGCAGTACGTGCTCCCCCTGTCAATCATCTCCTTCGCCTACGTACGCATCTGGAGCAAACTCAAGAATCACGTCAGCCCGGGGGCGAGGAACGACCGGCACCACAGGCGGAAGAAGACCACCAAGATGCTGGTCACCATGGTGGTGGTCTTTGCAGTCAGCTGGCTGCCTTTCCACGCCTTCCAGTTGGCTACCGACATCGACAGCAGCGTGCTGGACATGAAGGACTTCAAGCTGCTCTACACGATGTTCCACATCATAGCCATGTGCTCCACCTTCGCCAACCCCATCCTTTACGGCTGGATGAACAACAACTACAGGGCGGCTTTCACAGCGGTGTTCAAATGCGAGCGCAGACTCCGCTCTGTCCAGCAGGAGGCGCACAGCAGAGTCCATGCCAAAGGGCCACCAGAGTCACAAGACCCGAACTTAAATGCTACAAATGTTTAAACGTATGGCTTGAATTCTGCTGAATGATATTTTTGCCACTGTAAATTCCTTTGGATGCACGATGTATTGGCTTGCTGTGGTGCTTCGCTCTCTCCTGCTTTACCGTGTATATATGGTTTGGTCACTGCTGTGAAATTAATGTACATGTTCAAATCTAGTGTGTAAATGTGCAAAAACAATCGCAAACCATGCAAAATGATTCTCCGAATAAAACGATATTATTTTGAATGTGTTTTCCCATCTGGTGCGTATCAGTCAACCAGTAATAAAAACGCACTTGAAAAGAGCAGGAATTCAGAGCAGAACTAGAAGAGAGTGCAAAATGTATTTCTGCAAATGCTATTCTGGACTGTACTTGAAATTCTTACTAAGTTACAGTTAATTTATAATTTCAACCTCTTCCAGTCCATTCCATGTGGCCCATAATATATAATGAATTGTTCGATGACTCTTATTTGAAGTAATTATGTCTAATGATTTCTCCATCCCGGCTTTACAATAATGCAATTCAGAACTGCAGATAACGGGTCGAAAAAAGAAAAATGACATCACACCGTGAAAATGTATAGAATGCCTAATGTACATTTAGAACAATTTTCCTATTAAAATGTGGCAACCGTGAAGCATTAGCCATCATTGACGAGGATTCCAGCTTTTAGCCTAAATAATGAATAAATAGCCTGATGCATAATAAATCACTGTTAGTTTGGGAGAACACATTATCAAGGATACAGAGGAAATTGGAGGGCAATATTGAATTATACAAATATATCCGACAAGAGAAGGCATCGATTCAGTTTAGGTAATATCCACAGTAATTATAAAAAGACATGCACTTTTTCCATTTAAATTGGTATTAAAGATTAAAATCTTAGCAAGTTTCATTAATCTAACCTGTGGTTTTAATTTGGGAGCAGGAACCCTGCCGTAACCTGAGTTACCTTAAATAACCTAATTGCAAATGTAACTGTTTTGCAAAATTAACCAAGTGTTCTCAACTGTCTATAGCGAGTCAGCTTCATGAATGCTGCTGCGTACTTTGAAATGTTTACACATTAAATATCTCAAGCCACACAGCAAATCTTTTGTTTGTTATAGAATAGAATAATGATATTGATCCCCGTGGGGAAATGGTCTTTTCGCTTGTCCCATCTTGCTCTCCCTGAGACACACAGACGCAAGTGCAGCACAAGTCTGGGGTCACGGCCTGGGGTTAGGCATTTGTCTGCTGCCCCAGGGGCAATTAGGGGCCTCGCCCAAGGGCCCGCAGCAGCATCAGAGCCCTAATCCACTGAGCCCCACACTGCTCCAACAGGCGTTTAATAAAATAATACAATAATATTATTTTTCTTAGGTATATAATTAAATATACACTTTAAAATGTTAATTGCGTGATACTAATCAAATTGTTTTGCATCCACTTTATAATGATGTTGAAAAAGAATTGAAATAGTTTTGTTTTATGTAGGTCGTTAAGGGTTTATTAGTAATTATTCCGTTAATCATAAGAGTGTAAACGGTGACGTAGTGATGCACCAGGATCCACAGAGGTGGACGGCTACAGCCCACAGGGAGCTGAGAGTCTCCCCGGAGGTCCGAGGGGACGGATCCAAGCTTGAGTGCTGAATCTGGACATCCCAGGGCGGCAGGCGCATGCTAATCCCAAAGTGCTCAGATAAGGGGGGGGGGGGGGGCAAGAGGCAGCAGCCGGGGTGCCAGCCCCCCCTCGCCGAGAGCGAAGGATGGTGCAAAAGATGCTTTGGATAAAAGGGCCCGGTCTCGTTCAGTTAATGGAACTGCCCAGACGATGTGGCTCTTTGATGCGGGACCAGGTTCTGGCCTGGGATTCATGCATTAAATCCATCAATCACTTAAAAAATCATTTTTTGGCTGGTAAATCTCACTTTTAAAATAATTTGTTCGGCTACCATAAATTAGAGGTGAAGGACTACATGGTCAGTAGAAGTTAATTCCTCTTTGGGTCGGGTCACATAATGGTGTTAAATGGACTCTGACCTAATGAACTAAATGAGCGAGGAAAATTAGATAATAATTTATGGGTGAGTCACGGAATGCAGAGCCCGTGAGTTTCAGGACATTAATACAGTGTAAGGATGTGTGGCAGTTTGCTTTGCGCTTAATTGTGAGCTACTTACCATTCCAGACGCAGATTTTCCCACGCTTTTCTCGCACTTCAATGCAGGTGGGACTGTGCTTGAATCTTCTAAGTAACTTAAAAGCAGACAGATGGCTCCTGTATAATAGTACCTGCATCTAACCATCACTTTCTTTAACCCGGTGTGTCAGTGGAAATTTTTGCCGATTCATCCCAGAGAGCATTTCTGAGGTCAGGCACTGGTGTTGAACACGAAGGTCTGGCTCGCAATCTCCGTTCTAGTTCATCCCAAAGGTGTTTGATGGGGTTGAGGTCAGGGCTCTGTGTGGGCCGGTCAAGTTCCTCCACACCAAATTCACCCGGCCACGTCTTTATGGACCTTGTTTGCCTGACTGCACTGCTTGGTGCTTGATTTTATACACCTTCAGCAATGGGTCAGAATGAAACACCGGAATTCAGTCATTAACTGGTCGTGTCCCAATATGTTTGTCCATATTCTGTATATACAGCTGAGAGCGATGCTTGGGTCCAAGCACAGGAGGGGGGGGGCGATTATCGGGGGGGGGGGGCGATGCTTAAGGGCCGATAAGGGTGGGATTCGAGTCAGTCACCTTCTGCTCACAGGCGCAGAGACCTCATGTGCTGTCCCACCCGCTGCACCCCCCCTTACAGGAGTATTTAAGGGTAAGATCCACATTACAGGCTTATTACTGGCTTATAACTGGTTTAGGCGTTTTGAGGGGTCACGGGGTCAGGCCTGAAGCCTATCCCAGGAGCGCCTGAACGGTATTCCAGTCCACACTCACCGAGAACCCCCCCCCGCCACCGCCTCAGGACAGTGGCCAGGCAGGAGCTTACTCATTAGCTCTACATATTCTGCCGGCTTCTTCCAGATGCTGCAGAGTAAATATGGCCGCCACCACATCAATTAGGGGAGCGTCTGGGAGCCATGTCAAGACGCAGGAGGTGCGTGTCTGTGTTCATGATACCTGGCATGAGCCAGTCCGCTCATTCGTTTGCTGGGGCTGTCTACATGCAGACCTCTATTGCCACAGACAGCCATTACAGGAAGCGTGGCGTAATTCATACGCAGAGCAGGGCACCGAGAACATGTCGGTCATACCCCATAACGCCAGAGCTCGTTTAAGGCACTGCGATTCTTCTGGGCGGCTGGATCAGGGGGATATTTTTGTCAGTTGTGGTGCCTCGTTGACCTGGGAGGGGGACGCGCTGTGTGGGTAAGAGAACATTATCCTGTCTATGTCGGTCTCTCTCGACGCACTGTCCAATCAGCCGTTCTGCTTCTCAAAGAAGAATCACATTCAGAAATCATTCAGTCACAATGATGGCTTATTAATATCTCCTTTGATGTTCCCCATTCATCTGCAGACTTATCAGTTTAATTGCAGTGAAACTCTTGCACCATTACGGCCATATTTGTATACATAGTATGAGGCAAACTCTGGGTCAATGGCTGTAAGTTCTGCACTAGAGTGACGAGGCTATTTGTGTTCCTGTATTCATTATTCATGAATCTTTCAAAAGCTTGAGAGAGATCTCCTTCAAGGACTTCGGCAGGGCTCTTCGTCGGATTCTCTTCTCATTTACCCAACCACCACGGTGGAAAATGAAATACACAAAATAATACTTAAAATATTTGCATTACCTGTTAGTGGTGCTATATTGTGCTGCACTATTCACCCATAAACATAATCTGCTCATGAAAGCAGGAATCCATGCTAGCTAACTAAAAGGAACGGCTTTTCAGATATCAAAAAATGTTAAATTAGATAAAAGGTTTATTCACAAGTGATTGAAAACAGATTTTAGAGCTCCATTTTGTCATAGAAGCAAATATGTGCAATTAAAATGGAAAAATATGAAATTCAGAATGGGATGTTTTACATCACGTGAACCTGCACTGGATAAGTGTTTAGAAGATGGATCCATGGAATACTTAACGTATGTTATAACATTACCCTCCTGTGAACATTCACAAAAAGGGATATATTGTACAATAAAAAGTACGATTTTTTTTACTGCAGAATATAGAAATGGATTTAAGAAGGATCTGTGATAGATGATTATACTCTCACTGATGGTGATCTGATTCATTTCAGAGTTAGATTACATCTAGATTCAATGAAAGGAGATGAGGATGGGTGGATGAGGATGATAGACTAGGATGGATGGATGAGGATGATAGATGAGGATGGATAGATGAGGGTGATAGATGAGATGGATGGATAATGATAGATGAGGATGGATGAGGGTTATAGATGAGGATGGATAGATGAGGATGATGAGGGTGATAGATGAGAATGGATGTTTAATGATAGATGAGGATGGTGGATGTATGGATGAGGATGGAAAGATGAGGAAGGATAGGTGAGGATGGATGGATTAGGATGGAAAATAACAATGGTAAGATATGAATGGAAAGATGAAGAAAGGGTTAAAGTTGGCCATGTTCCCCACTGGCTGCCTGTACATGGTGTACTGAGTACCCCGTTAGTGTCACAGACATTACAGATGTGAGAAGATGCTCTTCCTTACGTAGGGGATGTAGTGCTGAAGAGGAGCATGAAATTCAGGCCAGCTCTGATAACTTTGCCATTTGTCAGGCATGTAGCCTGTTTCCAGTGCCAACCGTTAATAAACCACGACTCCTGGGCCACTGTCACAGGGCAGGCAGCCGAGAGCTTATACTTGAGACCCCCAGCACTGATCCATATTAAGATTAGCTTCTCTCCTTACAACAGTTCATCAGCTGATACAGACAAGGTGTTCACCACTGAATCTGACAGAAAAGATAAACTTCCACTACTATCAGAAAAAAGCCTCCCACGAGACATTATCACAGTATCTGACGCCGAGCAGTAAGATGCCTTTGCCGGCGATAAAAAGCAATTTCCCGCCGAAAGTCTCCGTCTTGTTTGTCCTGCACCTTTAAAACAATACGGCACATGAAACGGGAGGCTATCGGAGAACTATAATGAAGGCAAGACAAAATGTCAGAGTTTAATAGCGTCTGGCCTCTTGGCCGTAGGTGCCATATAAAGCGTGGTAAAGGTGAGTTTGCATGAATGTAACCTATATTAATTATTACTGACGATGATTATAAGTCACCTGGTTTTTATGCGCAGGTTAATGATGATTAGAGGAGATTGGGCTTGTGTAAATATATTTCATGAAATTATGCAACAACAACAAAAAAATCAATACAGGAAAAATAAAGTTATGTTGCCAACAACGGAAGCATTTTGCCCTGCAGATGCATAGTTATTATGTTCCGTCCGGCACGGTGACACTGCGCCTCGGCTCTTAAGTCAGGAAGATCCGATTTGCATCTTGAGGCGAAGGCGATGACAGGCAAAGATAAGGAGGGAGATAGTGGCGTCAGAAGGCAGTAAATCTGCCGCCGGTCCACAGGCGGGCTGGAGGCTCCGCCCTTCGCCGGCCTGCTTCTCCCGCATTGCTCGTCTGGCGCTGGGCGCGTTTCTCCGATCGCCGCCGTCTCCTGCAGGTCTCCGCTTCTCCGTGTCGTGATAACGGGGCCGGTCGCTCTGCTTTGCTTCTTTTCCAATCAACAGGAGGGTTTGCGTCTGTTAACGTCTCCTAAGCAAAATGGGGAAAGACAAGGGCGTCCCTGTAATGCCGGTGACCCCAAACCAGTTTCAGACCCCTGGGATCGCACTGATACGATGTTAGTAAGCACCAAATTAATACTAATAGCAGGTAATTAATAGGATTAATTTACGAATATCGCTTTCCCGCGATATTATAATGCTGTGTACTCTTCGGGGTGTAACCCAAGTGAGATGTAATTTTAAGATGCTCTTTGTTGATATATAAATTAATTCATTATTATCAATGATGTGGTTCCGGGAAACAGCTGAGGCTGTTTTAAATTGACTGAGTGCCCCCGAAAGCGGCGGCTCTGCCCGCTCCCCGCACCGCAGTAACGAGCGCTCCTTACCGGCTGTGCGCGCTCCGGAACGCCGCTCATTACCTCCGTCACGGCTGAGCACTGTAAGGCCTAACGTCGGGCACACAGCCGCCCTGCTACGTGAACAGACCTTCACTGAAGCGAGCTTTCCATACTCGCGGGTTTTCTCTTGTTGCATCAATTGTCATGAAGACGGGATAGGCCTATAGGTAGGAAAACCCTGCTGGAAAAAGAACAGCATAGATAAGCATTATTTTAATGGTGCTGGTGCACTAGCATATCCAGCAGCAATATCTTTTTAATGATGCTGGTCCACCAGCACCAAAACACAACATATGCTGGTATAAACAGAAAGCATTATGCTGGTCATGCTGGTATGGTCTATGCTAAAAACCAGCTTGTGCTGGTATACCTGATTTTAGCTGGTCTAAGATTGCCACGTTTTATTGGTCTAACTGGGTGAGTGACCAGTTGGTTATGTTGGTGTGGCTAGCTAAACCGTCAAACCATCATACCTTAAACTGGTCAACTGTCACAAATTGGTCAACCAGCTTGAGCTGGTCAAACTGGTGTTTTCAGCACTGGTGTCAATGGGAAGTTGCAGTTTCTCTAAAGATACTCTGTTGTGAGACAATTTAACCAGAACTGCTGAGGTAGCGTCTTTAAATTGGGTGAAAACGGCATAAAACGTGCCGGCCGGAGAGTAATAAATATTGTCAATGCAGAAAAGTGGCTTTGTGGGTTTCAGACCTACAATAAGCAATAGAGTAGCTCCCTCTATTGGTTATAGTTTGCATTGCGACTGCTTTGGGATTTCAGGAAACATCCGTTCTCCGTAATACGGTATAAGCGTATATTTTTTTTAGTAATACACATATGTCAAAAGATTTTTTAAATATATTTTCATGTATCCATCACTGCCATATATCTCTGCATTCTAAGCCACAAACTCAGGAGATGGAGTCTCTAGAGCAGGTGGACATTTCTTCCAACTTGATAAATCCCAGTGTCAGAATAAAATGAGATGAGTTTCTGTAGTTAGAATACCCTTAGATACATTTTATTTTTAGCTGACTAGTGTTTATTTTGTTCTCTGGTTTTGTGCAGGAAGGCCACAGCAACACAGACTGTCGTGTGGAATTTGCCGGCAAGATGCAGACGCGGTAGCACATGTCAGCTGAGGAGCCACAGAAGTGCTGCTGCACCGCCTCGTGACACTCTGGTTACCATGGCAGCCCTTTGAGCTCCAGCAGTCGCGGTTCCCCGACTGAGGACACAGTGGTAAGGCAACAGTTCAGGATGTCAGAGTGGAATAAGGGCCTGAAACAACGGAGGAAAATAAGTCCGAGCGGAATAAGAGCCTGAAACGATGGAGGAAAGGGAGTCAGAGCGGAATAGGGGCCTGAAACGATGGAGGAAAGGGAGTCAGAGCGGAAAAAGGGCTTGAAACGATGTCTTTTTGAAAGTGCTGATTAAGCAGTTTTCTGTCCATGCCAAGCATGATTATTCACCCACATGTATGGCACCGGCATCCCACTTGTGGTAGGCATTAAACTTTCACACGTTCAGTTAAAAAACACGTGTATAATCATCTTGGCTGTTCTGGATTGGTTTGTTTTGGTTTGGTTTGATTTCTTGCCTAAAATAATACATAGCAGAGTCATTGACCCTGGGAACAAAATGTACCCTGTGTGTTATCTGGAAAGGAGCGATAAGCAGACGGTGGGTCATGTTTGTAGAAATATAATGACCCAGTGCCTCCATATCTGGTGTGAGCTCAGTCAGCGTTGTGATCATTGTCTTCATATTTAGTACGCCGGGGTGGTAGCAGAGAATGAGAAATACTGTCCTGAAATATGTAAAAGGACTGCATTTATTCAGGGCTGCCAACTCTCACGCATCTGGTGTCAAGGTCCGTACCATCTGAACCTGCCCGTCGTGTCTCCTCCCCGTTTGGCCAGCAGGTGTCGCTGGCCGTCCCGTTCTCCATCCTATCTCTTGTCCTTCAGTCCCAGTGTGTACTCCCTATTTCCCAGCCTGTTGCATAGCTCAACGGGCTGAGTATACAGCTCAGATTGCAGATCTCCTGGTCATGGGTTTGAGGCTGGTTTGGAACCAGCTTCACCTGTTTTTTTTTAATTATTGATTTGTGTAGTTCCTAGTATTGTAGTTATTTTACTTCCGTGTATAGCTTTCCCTGCTTTTGTCCTGTTTGATTTTGGTTTTTGTCTAGTTTACTCAGCCGTTTATGCTGCTCCTCCTAGTTTGCAGTTTTGGTTTAAGGTTCCTTAATTTCAGGCTCATTTGTAATCTGCCTCACCTGTTCCTTGTTTGCCCTGGTGTTTCTGTATATTTAAGTGCCTGGATGTGCTCAGGTCCTTAGTCAGTCATTGAGTTATGTTGCTGTGTGGTCAGTACTTTGTCCCCTAAGTCTGGTCCTGCTCACTGTGTTGAGTTGAATTATATGGCTAATTCTTGTTTTCCCCGTTTGTTTGTTTGTTTGTTTTATTTTGACCCCTGACGGTCCTTTTATTTTGTATTTTCCCGCTTGTATTCTGTTTGTTAATAAGCCCCTTATATTGTCTTGGAGCCGTAAGCGGATTGTCACCTTGTTCCCGTCTGCGCCGTCCTGCATCGTAGCATCTGGCGTGAGCTGCGTGATACTCACGCTTTCATGCTCTCTTGGTCACGGAAGAAATCTCATGGTAAATTTATATTATAAGCCTAACTTTAGCTGCATGAAAAGTGTTGGGGGTAGTTTGTGAACCCTACAGACTATTTTCAAGGTAATAAAATTTTTACTTTTCATGTAAATGTGTCTTAAACTGTAAATTTTACCCCCGCCAGCTGACCAACCCTGCTTCACTGCAGTGTTAGTCTGTAACAGTGTCGGATTCACGATGATATTGTGATACTGGCTCTGCGTGAGGCTGAAACTGGTGTATTTACATAAAATATACAAATGCTGAGAAAGTGTTTATTAGATATTAAACATGTCACTGTCTTGCGCTCGGAGCAAGGTATTTGCTAAATTGATTAATGTGAGAACTTTTTAATATGGTTTTTGGTTTGCAGTTTTCTTTTAAACTTGAATAGTAAAATGAACATCAATTTGTTTGCTACATATAGTTTGTTTAGTTTTGTAAAACTCGTTGAATTTCTTGTAAATGAGTGAAATGCGTACATTTTTAAAATTCTGATTCATTATTGCTGTCTTGCGTTTTACAGTTTAACCATAGACCATGAAAAGTCTGATTAGTTGCAATCAAAATGGTAATTTGTTGTTTATTGTTCACTCTTTTATGAGAAGCAGAAATTCTAAGTAAATGGAGCTTCTAATCATCCAGTCAAATCTCTCACATCTCTGTGTGGTTCCTGTCTGTCCTGTAAGCCTCTTTGTGGTCGGCTCATGTATTCTAAGCACTAAATAAACAGTAGCAGACACAAATCAAATCTCCTTTCATATCTACTGTATGGCTTATCTCAGTATCAAGGGGAAGAAAGTCTTTGTTGTCAGCTTGGAATTCACTAGTCGCTGTAATATTTATTCAGAAATATGGAAACGAACAAAAATGATCACAAGGAATCACACGGTGCCAATTATTTTCAGGTACAAACATCGTTTATGTTCCCTCCGAAGGAAAATTGCAGTAATCCTTGTAGATGATGACCTGGGGTGTGGGGTTGGTATACTCAGGCTTCTTCTGCGGTGCAGGAATCTGGATACGTATCATGTGACAAGAATGACCTTTAGCTTGTTATGAAACAACACAGGCTAACACGCTAACAAATTTCAGTTAATCTCACAAGGCAAATCTATTTAAACAGCCAAAAAAACGGTTGTGCAAGACTGGCAGTAGAATTCAAGCAGTCAAACATGAACTTTGGGCAATGAATGAACCCTAGTTGAAAGGATAGATGTGTGCGGACCCAACAGATGAAGGCAGTCGCACTTAATTTAATCATGGCACCACAAAGGGTTAAAATAATTTGGATCTGTGGCGAGTATCCTGCAAATACACTAATGTAATATGGCAATGAGACCTTTTTAATAGTCCGTACATCCATCCATCCATCCATCCATCATCTACTTAAGTGTAGGGTTATATAGACCTCCTTTAATTCTATTGTTGCATAACATTTTAATAATATCTGAAAAATACATATATGTGCCTGTGAGCTGGAGAGAGATTTAAACCCACATGTGAAAAATCCGTGTGAAATTTGAGCCACCAGTTGTCCTGTAGTCAATTTTGGAGGAAAGATTTTGTTAACAGGTGAAGGTTGTTGTAAACTAACATGCTCTTTATGTTTCTATGCAGCCATTTTCAGGTGCTTCATAGAGAAGTTTACTAATTAACCAAACTTTAAATATTTACTCTTTACCTCTGGCCAACTCAGTTTGAAGAGTTATTTATTTTGAAATTATGAAATGATCCAATTTTGTAATAATGACGCGGTTAATATTTGGCTGCAATTTAAGCATTAGCGAGTAAACTGGACTTTTTTTAACAGTAACTGTGTTGTTACCACTTCACTCACCGATTCACCTAACTATGTTTTTGGGCTGCCCCTTCTGCATTATAGTAAGGTTAGCATTCGGGTTAGCATAAGGGTTAGCATAAGGCTTAGCATTCGGGTTAGCATAAGGGTTAGCATAAGGGTCAGCATAAGGCTTAGCATTATTATTTGCCTTTGCTATTAGCACGCAGACAGCACTGCGGGGATAGCAGCTTGAAATTTGGTGCGGAGTTTACGTTTCTGAAATTGTTTATGTTTAGACTGCGTCAGACGTGATGTGAGGCTTGGAGGGGAAAGTCCTGTCTGGTAGGTGTGGCATGCAGCCCAATCTCCTGGCATTTGGTTGGACAACTGGCTTACGGATGGACCCAAGAAATTCCCAGACAGCTAGTATTGAATTGAACTGAATTCCTTTATTGTCATTGTACAGTACAATGAGATTCAATGTGAAATTCCTCCATTTAGTACTCTTCCTATAAAATGATAAAAAATAATATGGTAAAACAGTAAAAATATACAATATGAAAACCTAAGTACAGTGTGCATATATAGTGCTCTGTCATGAGTATGACGTTAAACTGCATCTGGCCCTGGAAGTGGTCCTCCAACTTGCTGGAAAAAAATGGAGGTTGGTGGCAGGATTGACACTCCAAATACCACAAAAAATACAGCTCCGATAAAGCAGACGGAACTCTTGTCTGGTCTCCATGGGAGCGGCCCGGGAAGGCTGAACGTTTGATGAAGGGGATGGGGAAGAGTCCTCAGGAGCCTCGTCCCTGGAAGAGAAGAGACCACTGGAGAGTGAATGCGCTGGTTAAAATAAAAGCGCCCCGTCAGGTTTTAAATAATAACTAAATGTTTTGGCTGTCGGTCCGGGTCCGTATGGGACAGCTTCTGGGTTCGGACCCGGACCGCGGTCCGCCTGTTAGTGACCGCTGTCCTAGGTGATCACCAGGACTGTGGCAACTACAGGGGGATAACACTGCTCTCTGTACCGGGAAAGTTCCTTGCTAGAGTCATCCTCAGCAGGATCCGTGATGAGTTGCTTGCCTACCAGTGACCGGAGCAGCCTGGTCTTACGCCTAGAAGGTCTACCATCGAGCGCATCCTGGCACTGAGGGTTCTCATCAAGCACAAACGTGAATATCAGTAGTTTCTTTGCAGTCTTTCTTGATTCTCATATAGCCTTCGACTCGGTTGACTGAGCTGCCTTTTGCGACATCCTGAGACTTTGCAGGATCTCCTCGAAGTTGCTAGACATCATGGCTGGTACTGTGAGTGCAGAGAGGAGGCAGAACCTCTGCATTTTTTCCCAGCTGATTCTGAGGTTCATCAGGGATGTGTTCTTGCGCCTACTCTGTTCAGTGCTTGCCTGGACTGGGTGTTGGGCAGGGTCGTGGGGTCCAGCGGTTATGGGACAACTGTTGGTGAAATAAGACTCACTGATCTTGACTTTGCCCGTGATGCGATGATTTTTGAGTCAATGGAGGGTCTCAAGAGACTGAGCAAGGAGTCTGAGTGTCTGGGCTTCACCTGACCTGACGTGACACATACCGTACATACAGTACAAAAGGTTTATAAAATGACTCAGGTTGTGCAATGTTACAGTTGTAGTGCAAAGTTTACAGTGAGGTAATTGTGAGTACAAACAGTTTTACTGGCAGAACATGGACTGATTAAGTGTGTTTATAGCTCTTGAAATGAAACTTTCTTTGAACATTGAGGTCTGTAGTCTGTAGAAAGGCTCTGTAGTGTTTTCCAGATGGGAGAAGTTCAAAAAAGACTGTGGCATGGCTGAGTGGGATCCATGCAGATGTTGGTGGCTTTCCTGAAGCAGCGTGTGCTGTAAATCCTCCAGGGCTGGAAGCTGCACCCCAATAATGCTCTGCGCTCGCAACACGACCCGCTGTAGAGCTTTCCGATCAGCTGCCATATTCACGCAAATACAGTAAGTTAAAATAACTGCGGTGAGGAAGAACTTTCATTTTCTGTGCCCAGCTGGCTCACATGTTCAGTGTCCAGTGTTTAGCTCTCTGAGACGTGGCTGTGAGTGACTACACTCACAGAGCTCTGCACATGTGACATTTTAGGATGCCTGATGATGAAGAACTGGCAAATGAGAACCCCGTACAAACGAACGGCATAGCGATCAGACAGCTTCGCGTAGTGTCGTGTAATGTGAACTACCATGAACACCAGCTAGCACTTATTCTCATTCAAGCAAGGCCAAGGTAACGGAGGGTAGATCAGCAAAGTCCCGCTGGCCAATAGTGCTTTGGAAAAAGGGTTAAGGCTGCCCAACTCATTTATATACAGATGAATAATAAAAAAAAATCTAAGGAATAAAAAAACAGTTAAAAAATATATCTTTGGAATAGAAAATTAAATACATTTATTTATTTATTTATTTATTTATTTATGTCGTCACGTTTTTGTCCTTCACAGACATGCTCTTCCCTCTGATAAGAAAGGCAAAGTACAGATGATTCCAAAAAGCAACAGAAATTCGTGTGTATTGTTCCTGTTTGACTTGCCTTTGGTGGGCAGAGCCAACAAATAGACCAATGATTGGACGAGGCAAATGCTTAAATAATCAATTTCTCCTCGAAGCTGTGTTACATTCTGAAGCAGAGATAAAGAAAAACAAAACTGGTCTCTCTCTGCTGGATAGCATTTTATTAATCATGAGCGGATGCCCTTATTTTGGAGGCAAACATATGTATGTATATTTTTATTTACGTTTCTCATTGGTCATACTTTGTAAGGCTTATTTCGTCTGTATAAATAGCATATTTGTTTGATTACATTTGCTTCCTTGTTTATTTCTGTTCCTTTACTTAAATGTGCATCATGCATGTAATTGTCCCATTGTCACCGTCTCAGTCAGTTTCATTTAACTTGATGACTGCCTGGTTGTATTCTAAATGACGTCTCCCATGAATCCTAGATCATCGCAGAAGTTGAACCTAAAAGAGGAGGATGACGACTCACAAAAGGGGGTGAACAAGGCCACCAAGGGCGGCGTGGTGTACGGGGACTATTTACAAGTAAAATCTGGCTCCCCTCAATTATCTGGTGTCAGTGTGTCCTTTACTGACAAGTACAGACTTAGCAGTGAACTGGCAGGAGGACGAGAGATGAAAATGACTGTTGTTTGATTTGCAGCTGGATAAAATAATGTCAGCACAAATCCTGCAGAGCGAACTCGGGGGGAACAAGATCCACGATGAGCATCTCTTCATTGTCACCCACCAAGGTGGAGTGTCGCAAACTTACCACCTGCTTTGCACACTTAAATTAGTGAATTTTCATTACTAAAACAGTGTTTCCCTCAGCCTGTCTTCTATTTAAAAAGTGTGTTGTATGCAGTTTGAAGTACACCATCAGAAAATATTTAACCCGCGGTTGTGTGTTCAGCGTTTTTTCTTTTTTCTTTTCAGCTTATGAACTCTGGTTCAAACAGATTCTTTGGGAACTTGACTCAGTCAGAGATATTTTCATTAGCGGTCATGTGAGTACTGCAGAGTTTTAAGATTCTCACTGTTTACCACACTAGTTAAATTGTGGGTTTTCCATACTGTGACTTAATGTAAAAAGACAGAAAGTGCCAATATTTGAAATGATCTTAAATTCAGATATCGCAGGCTACAAGTTATTCGTAAAAAAACATCCTTAAATATTGTGTGTTTACAGGTCAGAGATGAAAGGAATATGCTGAAGGTGGTGACTAGGATGAACAGGATAGTGATGATTTTCAGATTGCTGGTCGATCAGTTTGCGGTTCTGGAGACAATGACAGCTCTGGACTTTTTCGATTTCAGGTAAGCAGGAGGTCTCAGTCAAAGTCAAAAGTCAGAGTATCGTTGGTGGTAGTGCAGAGAAACAGTAGGAAATAGAATATAAATATCTACAACATTTAAGTACGACATATTGAGACATTGACATAAGAAATGGCAAAAAAAATTCAAAAAAGGACAGTTTAAAAATATCACATGAATAGCATTTCGAAGGTTTTTATTCAAAGAATTTAAAGACTTTACAAATAGCATACATTGGATGATTAAATAAGTAACTGGAATAAAGTTTTGCAGTCTCTCAAAATCGGAAGTGTTCCCACAGTTTTGGACACTGGCATACAGTGGATGCGCAGTGGATGTGCCAGTGTACTGGGTTATGAGCTGCTGCTCCTCCTTAAATCCATAGTGTTTCATAACTTGGCTGTTTCTTTCTTTACATCCAGAGAGTACCTGTCACCTGCCTCTGGTTTCCAGAGCCTCCAGTTCAGACTTCTGGAGAACAAAATAGGCGTTCCAGACAGCCAGAGGGTGCCCTACAACCGGAATCACTACAGGGACCATTTCCGGGGCAAGGAGAGCGAGATGCTGCTCCGCTCTGAGCAGGAGCCCACACTGCTGCTGCTAGTGGAGGTGTCGTCAACATCCCACACCCAGTGGGTCACACTGTATTAGAGGGAGCACAAGTAAATTAGTAACTCAGTTACTACTCAAGTACAATCATGAAGTTATATAGTTCCTGTATGAAATACTTGAACTGTTATCATTGACTAATGATACACTAACATGGGATCAGTACATAACTAACAGTAAGTTACTGGTTAATTAATTCATTAAGTAAGCATGTACTACTACATTATTTGTGTCCCCTCAAATGGTGTTACCATTTGTGGCCAACAGGGGGCCCCATACCTTAGGAACCCCTCATGAATGCCTTTTTTTAGTGGTGGTGAACACTGCCACTACCCATATCTCACACTGAAGGCAGCCTTTTGGACACAAGCTAGATCCTCAATATGTTCTCGCCCATTAGCAGGGCATCTGAAATCCTATTTCCATTGGGGGCACCAATTGGTAGATTATATCAGGAGCAAACTATAGCCTGAGAAATTGAATTTTATATGTACTAATAAAATGTTTAATATCCGAGACCATTTCAATTTAAATGTATAGATAATGACTTGTTACGATTCAGTTAGGGTATATAATGAGTCGACCCTAACACATTTGAAATGAAGCAGAAATAACACATTTTATTCCACCAAAAGTCAATATTTTTTAGTCCAGTCAGGGTTTTTTTCTGCTTTAACTTCGAACAAGCTGCTCTTTTATATTGCAGCACTTTGACAACAGGCTCTCTGGATGATTTAATTTGCTCAGAAATGGCTGGAGAGAACCCCTGGCCTCGAAGACGATGGGTTCAACTTCTGGGGCAAACTGCAGAAAAATATCGAAGAAGGACTGAGACTGGAGCAGGTGAAACTTGAGGTATAGAACCTTTAGGGTGAAAAGCTTGCATTGAGGGTTTTTAGCTGCTTTCCCAAACTGTGGGGTTCTGTGGCTATGATGATGATGATGATGTTGATGATGATGATGATGATGATGTACACATTCTATTACAGCAAAAACCAGATTCGGAGGAAACAAAGGAGCAGATGGCTGAACATCAAAAGCAGGTGGAGATCTTCAGGGCGTTGTTTGACCAAAGGCGGCATGAGCACCTTTTAAGCAAAGGTCAGTGACATCGTAGCCCTTTCCTTATTGAATACCACCACAATGGACAATGATGACTATCCACATAATCTTGATCAAGCCTTTCTCTAATAAAAAATACGATTTGATTTTCATGGTTTGGTTAGTAGTGTATTGTTAAAGTGCAGGCAGACAAGAAGTTATTAGTTATTAGATTTACTTTAATTGTTTTACTGCAGTTCAGTCATTGATTGCAAACAGCGCCGATCAATCCCATAATCCTTTTCTTCTGTATTTGCATCAGGTGAACGAAGGCTGTCTTACAAGGCACTGCAGGGAGCGCTGATGATCTACTTTTACAGGTAGGAGTTTGCAGTCCAACACAGGCCCTTGGCGAATGCAGTTTTATTTCTCCGTTTCCTTACTCTGTGCCTCCCGTCCGTACTGCTGTAGGGAAGAGCCTCGCTTCCAAGTCCCGTTCCAGCTTTTGACCTACCTGATGGACATCGACACTCTCATGACGAAGTGGAGATGTGAGTACCTGCCCACGGTGGTGGCAAGCTGTGTGTTATCTCCTCTTTTCTGGCTTGTGTATATCAAGCTGCAGCAGACGTGTGCAGTTTCTTCAGTCCTCACTTGTTTTTTTTTTGGTATGTTTTAGACAATCACGTCTGCACAGTGCACAGGATGATTGGCAGCAAGGCTGGCACTGGAGGGTCGTCGGGGTATCACTACTTACGCTCTACCATCAGGTACGTCTGCTTAAATGACACAGTGTTTCTGATCTGCATTCAAATCAAAATCTGGGTGCTTCATATTTAACACTCTTTCAAGATGAATAGCTATATACAGTCTGACCTAGAAAATAAGAGCTGTAACAGGTAGGGATGGACAAAATGATGCTTTTTGAACCGTTTGCTGTAATTTCTGACCCCACTAGATGGTGCTCTTGGTTTGCTTTGGGGCATGCTTTGTGCCCTTTTTTGAACAGAGAGCAGTGGGGTCAGAAAATACAGCGAATGGTTCATGAAGCATCATTTTGTCCATCAATAGTCTCAGGATACTTAATTAGGACTACTTGAGGTAATGATTTGGTTAATTATATTAATTAATTAGAGGAAAAACCAGAGGAGTTGAGGTGAGTGGACCTGAATTGACCATCTTCCTTGTGTTGTTAAAGTGATCGCTACAAGGTATTCGTGGACCTTTTCAACTTGGCCACTTTCTTGGTACCCCGGGAATGGGTGCCGAAGCTGAACCCAACAGTGCACACCTTTCTGTACACAGCAGAGTGCTGTGACAGCTCCTACTGCAGCAGCGAGGACTCTGACTAGGAGGTGGAAACACGCCCAAGCCAGAGCCTGTGTATATACCGTCAATTAGTGATGGACAAAATAACACTTCATGAACCATTTGCTGTATTTTCTGACCCCACTAGATGGTGCTTTGGGGCATGTGTCCTTTTTTGAACAGAGAGCACCATCTAGTGGGTTAAAAAAATACAGCAAATGGTTCACGAAGTATCATTTTGCCCATCACTACTGCCAATACAGCCAGAAAAGCAGACAGCCTCTGACACTGTAATTAATGTATATACAATCAGCAAATACTTAAATACATAATTATCATGTTTATTTGGAAATTACAGTCCTGGCTATACTGAACAGGTATTAAACTGTAAATTAATATTGTAGGAAAATATTTCAAAACTTCTTATTTAGTGTTGATTACTTTAAAACAGCGTACACACTTTTTTCTTGGTAGAATGCGTATTTTAATGTTTTCCCTTGTGTTTCATCTAATATTTTATGATATTATTGAAGTTCATAAAAATACCTTTAGAAGATTGCGGTTGTTTTTGTGCATGATTAATCAGTTCCACAAAATCTGTAGAAAATATGTCTTGAATGCCGGTGCATATTGTCTGAATGTAGAGTTTGTGGGACGGGAAACCTATTGAATGTGATTGCTGCAAATAAATGAAAACATTTACATACTTCATATGGGTTCCTCAGTCCTATCAGAAGTATGGCACTATCGAGTACTATGAACCATAAAATATAACCAAATTGCCTCTTCCATTCAGTTAGCTGTGTAACTGAGAAATTAATGGACACATTTTAAATCTCATTCATTTCAAATGAATTGTTTAACAAAGGAGTTTATTATCATTGAGGCATTCATGAAGCAATTAAAAAACAGTTGAGACTACAAAAAATTGTACAAAAATATTTGACAATAAAAATGTATCATTTTGTAAGCCAAGAAAATATTATTTAAATATAATTAACTTGTATTTCTACTCAGCAACTGAATGATTATTTACAGTAAATTTCATTTTGAAACATAACCAGTGAATAACAGCCTTGGTGACCAGCGAGCCTTTGACTTAGAAATGCTTTTGTCATCCACTGCATGGAACATGTTGTTCTAGCCATAAGGGGAGCTTAAAATTCCTATATTTGCCAGTGTTGTGACTGTGCCAGTGCAGAAAGCCACTGTGTATCTCATGGCAAAAATGGACAGCAGGAACAACATTTGTGATAGATGGTGAAGTGCAGGGAGAGATACCATGTAGCCTTAGCTGTCCACAGGTCACACTCCTATCTATGAAACGCTACAATTACAAGGCATTATGAGACCACGAGAATACCACAGTTTCTGAGTATGCAGGATAATCACACAAAAACAGCAGCCACACTATCGGCGACACCTACAGGAGGGAGGAAACAGTGCAATTAAACTGGGAAGTCCACAACCATAGTAGCTAGTAGAAGAGTGGGGTATTCTGCAAAGCGGGGCTTTTTGCTTAGGGGGATAACTTGTTGAATTTAAGGTAGTCGGGGCTAAATGGATATTATCTTTGTTTACTTCCATTTCGCCCAAACTACCTTAAATTCGACAAGTTATCCGGCTAAGTAAGAAATCCTGCTTTGTGGAACACCCCCCAGGTGTAAAATGTTCCTTTATTTAAATCTTTTTTCACTTAGCTGACTGATGCCTTGCAAGCAACTGAGTGCAGCTTGTAAAACATGAAAAAACCCCACAAGCATTTATAAACAGAACGGCACCCCGGACAATGACATCAGACAGTAGTAGCACCAGACAACAACGCCCGACAGTAACGGCCGGCAGCAATGCCAGTACCGGACACCTTCTCGGATGGTTCCCTCAGCCAGACTCACCACAGACGTTGCCTCCCATCTTGATATAGACGTAACCCTGGTTTCCCCATGATGTTCCCCAAGAGTTACGCACAATCCAGTAGGGAACCTCAGCTGGAAGAAGGACATGACAGCATTGGGATCTGCATGGGAGACCATAGGCTTCTCTCCCGGGTGGTGAAAGGTGAGAGAGCCCAACCAGTCACTCATGGGTCACAGCTTCACCAAACCCAGCCACACATGTACGTTTGTTTGTAAATAAATAAATACACATCGATATGACTAACACAAATGTCATTTTATACAAATATAACTTTACGATATAATTTCATTTTATTGAATTTAATAGTTAAACTGCATTTTCATGTGACTGGTAGGGGGTGCAATTGCACCTGAGGTAAAACTGCCTACGGCAGAGCTGCCCAACCCTGCTCCTGCAGATCGACCGCTACCATCGGCGCTAACTTAACACGCCTGGTACAGATAATCGGGCCCTTCAGTATCATCTCAGCATTAGAAACAGCTATGTTGAAGCTAATCTGGCTCCAGTACGGAGATGCTAATGAAAGGCCTGATTATCTGTATCAGGTGTGTTGAATTAGGGGAATTAAGGCTGCACTTAAGGGCGGTAGATCGCCACATCCATGGGGAACTGCATTATATTGGAGAGTTAGGGTTAAGCGGAGACAAATCTGAATGCATCCGCCTGTCCTCTACATCCTGTTCCCCAAAGTATTTAAGTTCCTGAATCAATCATCCGTTCCCTCCGCTGTGGTAATCTGATCTGTACTATGATTGCTGAACTAGTAAGTGATCTACAGAACTGTAAAGGCCAAGCACACTGGGACGGAGGAGGGAGCACACTGGGACGGGGGTCTGCTTTCACCTGTGGTATCGTATCCGGTGATGAGGACGGCATGGTTGGCCTGCTGGCTGGGGCAGTGGTGCTGGATTATGCCCCCAAGGTAGTCTTGCCAACTGACAGCATCCACTGTTACAGCTACAGGACCCCAATCCAGCAGCTTCTGCATCATCGCCACCTCGTTTTCACTGTGGGCAAACAGCACAACAGCGCCATCTTCCTGTTAATTTTGGGAAAAACAGCTAACCAAAATGTGTGACAGTAAATAATATTGGTACAACAGAAAGCAAGTACATATTGGGGAGAAGCATGCAAGCGACTGAAATAAGGTCCAGCATAAATGCTGTATAGGCTCAGTTAGGGCTGCACAATTAATCGTAAAAGATAATGCAATCTAGATTCACACCACTAAGTGGTCTTATTTCTGAACGGTTCATCTGCATTGTATTACATCGGCTGGGTCAAAACAACAGCTGCTACTTTTCCCCAGAGAGTCTCAAGCGTTCCATAATTTGGCATTGTCTTTAAAGGGTGCTTTTCCACCGCATCAGGTACCGCACTTTTGGTACTTCAAGAAACCGTTCGCAACCGTTTTCAAGACGGCGGTATTGCGTTTCAGAGGCAGGCTAATTGCATAACCAAATCGACAAAGAAAGCATTTCAAGTTCCACCCCAAAGTACTGAAGTGCCAAAAAGTGCCCCACTAGCACTTTTGATACTGGAACTTTTGGTATGGCTGTTTTGGTTACCCGAATTGAATGGCTAATTGGGTGTTTCCTTTCTGTTGTTGATATGCCAGTTTTGGATCAGACATGTTTGGCACAGTCAGGTTTTGTTGTGTTTTCTTTTGCAGTTTAATGAGTGCAATAATTGTTTGAGTTTGAGAAAAAAAAATGTTACAGAGAATCACGATCTCAATTCTTAGCAAAAAGTCGTGATTCACATTTTTTTCAGAATTGTGCAGCCCTTGGCTCAGTACAGCACGATTTACCAAATTACATAAAAATATTGAGAATGACTGTTTTACCTGAAGTCAAAAGCTGCAAAGTCCTTAACAGAAACTCCAAATTCTGATGGTGGGAAAATGCGACAGACTCCTGTTTCAGCTTTAAATGGGTACTCTGTCTCACTGACCAATTTCTCCTGTGTCTGGAAGACCAGAAAACATAACACACATGACGTACATATCTCTTCTCTCGCATTACGATGCACACAGTTATTCACTTTCACATAAATGTTCAGCATAAACATACACAATATTGTGCTTGAGAAACTCAATGTTTCTGAGAAGGACATTAAGTGCTTCAAAAATCAATTTCAACAAGGGTGATAAAATGAGGCTTCATGAACCATTTGCTGTATTTTTTTAACCCACTAGATGGTGCTCTTGGTTTGCTATGGGGCATGCTTTGTGCCCTTTTTTGAACAGAGAGCACCATATAGTAGCGTCATTCTGTCCATCACTAGTAAAAAGGGTAAGCTATTGTTACAGAACACAAAGTATATGAAACATACGTCCAAAACATGTGTCGTGTACAGATTTAGGTCTAAAAAATGCAATTGTGACCTGCTTCAGCCAGCTGAGGGTCCTGACGGTGGAGCCACCGTTGCAGCCCTGGTTTTTATATGAGCAATCGATGACCTGCTGCACACTCAGCTGCCGCAGAGGGTGGCCCAGCAGCGCGTAGACAGATTCGATGATCCCGACCACGCTGAACGCCCAGCAGCCTCCACACTGCAGGGACAGGTGCAAGGTCACAGCTGGCTAAAACTGGCAGATCTGGGGGATCACCAGTGCATGGTCGCAAATGGGATGTTTCAGCTGAAAACCAAACAGAGCTGCAGTCCTTCCCAAGGAAAAGACAAACCAGCTAATGTACAGACAGGAAAGCTGTAAAATTCAGTCTGTCAGGAGATTCCTTTCCAGTGAACCAAGATACTCTCTATTACAAGAATCTGTGGGCCTTCCTAACAGGGCTTTGGCAGTAGCAGTGCAAAACCTGTTTTTATGTCACACAAGAGTGAGATATAGTCTTCCGTTATACAAGTACCTAACAATATGGCCATTCAGTGTGTTTTGAGATATTTTTTAAAAATGTGTCCCTACTGATTCTTGGTTTTCAACTGGAGTGACAACATTCTTCTCTCTCCAGTCAAATTTCTTAGGCAGTTTGATTGAAGGGCCTCTTGCAGCCTCTGGTGCTGGGTACTCCGGCACCTTCTCCGGGATTGTGGTCAGAAACCGGTCTGAAATGGCAAATAGGGTCACCTAGCTCTCTTTTATCTCGAGCCAAAATATCTCAGTTCAACTATGCCACAGAGTGTGAAAATTAGATTAACTTCAAAACACCCATTTTCACAGTTTCACAGTTAGCGTGTAGTTTTGCATTTCTAGGGATAGTATTATAGTCACACACAGAGTTCATTTTCTCTTCATTATCACCACAGGGTTGATCCACTGCAGTTAAGTGAAGAGGGCGCATTTACCTCTGAATTCTTCTGGCGATAAAACAGAAAACTGGTTTATTCCGTATTTTGCAGAGGAGCTGTTTGAGGCGACTGAGTGATTGTTCAGAGATGCATGCCGTAGGAGGCTTTTCTAGAAAAAAAGAAAAATGAACAGACTAACAAACGGAGTCAGCAAGTTACTGCAATAACTTCATACAGTACGAAGCTTGTAGCTTTAGAAGTTTCGTTTTCATTTTTGTACTGCACGTGACAGTGTTTGCATGTTTACCGTGCACTTCTGACGTCATAACCCAATAAAGAAAACCGATATAAAAAATGATATAAATATATTTATATAGCACTCGTCTCTGTTTCTTACTATTAATCACTATTTTACAACTAATCAAACAAAGCGCGATTAAATTAAAACGCGCATTTTGCAGTGTCAATGCGACTTAAAAAGCAATGATCTGACCTGTCCGGATCGAGGTGACATACCTCCAGGTTAATAATCCTGCGATAATAATCA